TCACATGTACCGGGATCCTGAAAAATTGGACCCGTTGCGTGTGAATCCCTCCCCTCTCCTCCCCTCCCTCCCTCCCCTCCTCCCCTCCTCCCTTTGGCAGCAATTTCAAAAGCGTTTCCATTTGTATTTAATGGTGGCGATATATCACACTATCGGCTCTCTTATCTTGCCATCAAGTTTCATCACTGGCAGTTTTGCAATGTTGGAAATAACCCTTTTATTGTTGATTTCGGGGTTGAAATATCTCCCAGCTGATTAGTGACGTCACTGGGATTTCATGACGCAAGTGTGACTTTATTAATTGTGTGCAGGTGATGGGCCAAATGCAGGAGGCTGGAGGAGGGGATAAGACATCCGAAAATAGAGAGAGAGAGAGAGAGAGAGAGAGAGAGAGAGAGAGAGAGACAGAGAGAGAGAGAGAGAGAGAGAGAGAGAGAGAGAGAGAGAGAGAGAGAGAGAGAGAGAGAGAGAGAGAGAGAGAGAGAGAGAGAGAGAGAGAGAGAGAGAGAGAGTATTCGTCTTTTTCCCATTTTTCTCCTAACCCTTAACTATCCCCCACCCTCTCCTCCTCCACCTCCTTCTCTCCTCTCCTCTCCCCTTCCCTCTTCCTCCTCTTCCCATCTCCTCCACCTCCTCCTCTTCTTCTTTTTCTTCTTCTTCTTCTTCTTCTTCTTCTTCTTCTTCTTCTTCTTCTTCTTCTTCTTCCTCTTCCCCCTCCTCTCCTCTCCCCTCCCCTCTTCCTCCTCCTCTACTCTCCTCCTCCTCCTCCTCCCTTCTCCTCTACTCTCCCCTCCCTCCCCTTTCTCCTCCTCCTCCCCTCCCTCCCTCTCCTCCTCCTCCTCCTCCTCCTCCTCCTCCTCCTCCTCCTCCTCCTCCTCCTCCTCCACCACCACCTCCTCCCCCTCCTCCTCCTCTTCCTACTCCCTTCCCCTTGGCCTCATAGCACTATTTTATCGTGTGGTTATATATCGATTTAGTAAATGCTATAACTTCTCTTGTGAGTGATAATGGTGGTTATGGTAAATAGTATGATATGAACAAAAGCAGCGATAAAATTCAAATTGTTATGAATAGGAACAGTTTTGATGGTGAAAGAAGTTACGGGAATAATGATGGTGATTATAATGATAATGATGATAATATTAATTTTAATAATAGTACAAAAGATAGTGATGACAATGATGATTTTAATATTAATGATAATATTAATAATAGTAATGATGGTGATGATAATAACAACAACAACAACAATAACAATAATAACAATAACAATAATAATGATCATTATTATCATTATAATAATAATAATGATAATAGTAATAATAATAATAATATCACTAAGCAAGATAAAGTAAGCGATGAAGTTGAAATAATGTAAAATCGACTCAAAAAATTAAAAGAAAAGAAAAAAAACATAAAAGAGAGATGGAAGGCGCTGCATACAGAATTTCATGTGGGCGGACTTACCTGATGCGGGCGTGGGTGAGGGCCGAGTTGAGATAAGGCGCGTGGGCGGCCGGCGAGCCCATCATGGGCGTGGTGGCGCCTTCCTTGTGGAATTCCGCATAGCCGCCCAAACCGCGCCGGCTGGGCACTTGCACGCTCAGGAGCTCCGCCATTTTGTTTTCCTGGGGGAGGCTGGTATAGCAGGAGCAAGGGGGTTGGGTGAGGGGGGGCGGTTAAGGGGGCGGAGCTTTCGTGGAACTTACGTCTCGTATCACTTAAAAAAATTATCTAGAAAATTCTAGTTGTTTTCTCCCTTTTTATTCTATAGATTTTGATTTTCTTTCTATCACACTGAGATTCACAGATCACCGGGCAACAGAAGTAGCTTATATATCTGCACCTTTCCTTGGGTTTCCTTCAGTGCGCAAAGTACCGCGGGAGGAGACAGACGCGTCTTCCACTAAATCCCGGTTACGCTCGGGACAACTGAGAAAACAACTTTGTAATCTCCCGAGACGCTCGGCTTAGAACCCCTTCTCTCTCTCTCTCTCTCTTGGAAGGAGAGCAAAGGAAATCTGATCAAAATTTAAAGAAATCGTGGGGGGCGGAAAGTGGCTTCTACAGAACGGCCTTTCCAGTATCAATACTTTGCGAGATTTTGCGAGACGGCGGGGAAAATTTCGGTCTTTGTTTTTTTCTCTCTCACTTGTGTGTTATCTCGCGCTTGGCATTTCTCCGAGCACTTCATAAACAGGCATTTGACTTTCCTCTCATTCCGGACATGGTTTTTGCACTTATCGTCCAACAGAACAGATCAATAAAACACCGAAACTGAATCCCTTGTGTCATATTTGTCAATGGTTTCGAATCCACACACAGGGACACGGGGGAACACACGGATCAACGCTTAAGAGATTCCGATTCCTTCACTGCGATTATCTTTTGTTTTTCCTTTTTTTCTTTCCTCCGGAGCTTGTTCACAGAATGTCCATCACAGAAGCTGAAGATAATGGAATGATTGGAATGAATCGCTCCTCATTCGGCCGCCATCATT